CCCAACTAATATCTTTCGAACAGTTTTGATTTTTAAAAATCGATTCGGTAGTATGAGCTTAAATGTGAACGAAAAGTTTTAATACTTTTTTCCTAATTACAAAGGAACGGCTTGGCAGATTGAGATATATCGAATGGCTTTTAAATTTTTGAAATCAATCGAGCCGTTTTTGAGAAACGTCGATGACATGTCTAATTTTGCAAATATGCCATAAAAACGATACTAATTTTTCCAAACTTTGAAGAATATTTAAAATTAAACGACTTGTGTAGGTTCGTAATATTTCAGTATGATCTATTGGACTATGGTATCTACTGGCAAAAAAATCATAAAAATCGTCGAAATTTTTTTTAACACTTTATTATAAGAAAACGGCCCGGCCGATCTTTACCAAAAACTAATCAGCACGATTCCCAACCATATCTTTCGAACAATTTTTGAATTTTCAAAATCGATTCAGAATTGCGGGCTAAAACGTGGACGAAAAAAATTTCACTTTTCTGCAATTTACAAAGAAACGGCTTGGCTGATCGTCGCGCAAAGTTGATAAATGCTAGTCCTCATCGAGATACATCGAATGGCTTTTAAAATTTTGAAATCGGTCCAGCCGTTTTTGAAAAATCGTCGATTTACGGCAAAAAATCTGTTCACATACACACACACACACTCACATACTTTTTCTAAATTTGGTCTCATTCGATTCAGAATGGCTTGAAACGTCGAGAAAACATAAAACTAGCGAATCGGATTTTTTGATGAAAACATAAACCTATCCTTCGGAAAGGTAATCATAGCTTTTTTGAAAAAAAAGTCATAATAATCATTCAAAATAAATTGTATAAATGTGAAGTGTAAATATCATGTAATGTACAAAACTATGTATGTGCAGTGTTCTAGAACTTAACGTTTTGAACTGAATTTTGATGTTTTAAAATACATTTAAATTTTTTTTGGAAGTGAGCTAATACCTTTGATGGTTGGTAATTTTCTTTAATCCATCTTACCTCTTACACTAAGCCTGCAGTAAGATACAAACACACGTACCGCTCGTACATATAAATGTATGTAAAATCGTTAATATTTACATGAAATCATATTTTTTTAATACGTGATACTAATCCTGGGAGAGTAATTACGACGAAATCGGAATTTTCATTGTCTGGTTGATAAGATAACATAACATGGTAGGCAGCACGCATTAATTAAATGTAGAGCTGGAGAGACTTTTGTATGCAAAACTACTATTAAATACGCATACTGGTGACGGATTAAATTTATTAAAATAAGGTCTGAATTTTGTAAACTCTGTTCAGGATTCTCGGCGAAAAATTTATGCCGACGTGAATCTTTGTTAAGGTGAAATATCTTTCAAATTTTTGAAATTTTGCGATATGCAACAAAGGAAATTTCTATTATACTTCCCTGAATCGAGTTGAAGTTTACATCGGTTCTAAGGCAATTAACTTTGTTTTTTGACCGAAAACAGGCCCATGGTATGATACTTATGATACTATTTTACTTATCTTCCTTTTCTATCTTGCTAATACATTACTTCTTACTTCTCGAACTTTTGCTTCTAAGCTTATATCATTTTCTACACTTTTCTTTCTCGTCATGTTCATTTCGGCCATAAAGAATTTGATTTAGCAATATTTTAGCTTTGTTGACATCTAATTGAAGAAACTCTTTTTCAAATATGGACATGAACAAGTTTACTTTTTGTTTCATTCAATAAATATCTCCCTTGCATTACTTTTACATTGTATCGCGATCCATTATATCGTAAACATTGTTTGATGGAGTAAAATTATCACAGTATTAAAACTAATAATTCACCACTCCCTGAATATTCAAGAATAAATTGGTTGTAAAATAAAGTTAAACTAGTGGGGCGCATGGCATCGTGCCTTAAGGCAAATTGCTGGAACTTCCCGTACCAAAAATTATTTTTTTTTTAAAAGATTAACATTTTTGAAAAAAAATTACTCTGAAAAAATATATTTTTGAGAAACTATAAATTTTTGTCAAAAACTTACTTTTTGTTGAAAAATTTATTTTGAAATATTTTGGAAATTCTGAACTTTTTTTCAAAGCAATCGTACTGCTTTAAATGCATAGAGACTAAATATCGAAGCGCGTAAGCGCCGCGTCGTCGTCTAACGGATAAACACTGGTACGAAACCCATAGGAATGTTAACACATCTTATACTTATTGTTAAAATAAAATCTCTATAAAATATCTGATAATTTGATATGCATATGTCTAATGATTATTGTTGACCGCCAAATGGTATTTTTTTTAGTTTTTTTTACTAGATCTCCGAAACCGCTAGACCTGCCTTCATGAAAATTTGATAAGTGTTCATCTTGTTCACACAAGTAAAATGTTTTTTGAATTATTCAAATCGGACGCTCCGTTCTCTTAAAAACTGAGTTACCGTTTTTGGCACTTTTTGCCCCATATCTTCGGAACGGATAGACCTGCCTTTGACAAAAACTAAACAGCACGTCTCCTTATCAATACGAATCGAATGTTTTTTGAATTATTCAAATTGCTTCATCCGTGTTCCCGAAATCGTCGATGAAAATTTGTATCCGAACACACATACATTCACGCACACACACACATACATACACACACATACACACTCACACATACATCAATTTTCTCTAAGGTATGCCAACATATTCAGAAATCTTTGAAATGTAAAGATATATAAAAATTTTCATTTTCGATTTTTTTGCGATTACTATAACTTACCCTATGGAAAGTTAATTATAAATAAATCAATTTATCATCTCCAGAACATTAACAATCGTCATTTCATTTCAAATTCAATTTCAAAAAAAAAATAGTTGCCAAATTTACACAAAACTGAAAAAGTGCTCCCGCATAGTCACAGTCTAAACGCATTTGCAAATAATTCTGTGCGACATTTTCACTTATACTGTGCTTAGCTTGGCGGCATTTTCACATTTTTCAATAGTTTCTCACAAAATTGGAAAATTGCTCCATTACATAAACAGTCTAAACGCACTTGCGTAAACATTTGTACCAGAGTGGCGCTTAGACTGTGCTTAGCCTGGGTGATTTTTTAAATTTTTAATCCAAAATTACAAAAAATTTTTTTGAAAAAAAAATTAGAAACAAAAAATTTTTTTTTCCAAAATCAATTATTTTGTTGAAATAAGCAGAAATTCTTTGAACCATTTAAATCGGACGCTTAATTCTCTCAAAAACTGCCATTTTTTTAACATTTAGCTCTGTATCTCCGAAACCGCTGGGCCTACCTTTGCCAAAAACTAATCAGCACATCTCCCTATCAATAAGAATCGAATGTTTTTTAAACCATTCAAATCGGTTGATACGTTCTCTCAAAAACTCGCTTTCTATTTTCTGCACTCTTTGCTCCATATCTCCGTAACGGCTAGACCTGCCTTTGCCAAAAACTAATCAGCATCATAGGAATCGAATGTTTTTAAACCATTCAAATCGGTTGATCCGTGCTCCCGAAAACGTGGACAAAAAAACGCGGACATACAAAACACACACACACACACATCCATTTTTTCTGAGGTATGCCAAAATGTTCAGAAACCTTCAAAACGTCGAGAAATGTAAAAATTTTCGATTTCGATTTTTGGACGATTACAATAACTTACCCTACGGGAAGTTAATAAAAAAATATTGCAATACAGTAATGCAGTTTTTTTCGCATATAGCTTATTGGTTGCTTGTAAAACTTCATTGGCCAACGGGATAGTTCTATGAGATCAAAATAAATAACCCAAGTTTTTACTGTGATTATTATGGTATTAAAGTTACCATAATTAATATCAATAAGTATTTATCGAGACAGCTCGTAAGTTATTTGCATAACAATAGCTTATTAGTTTCATTTTCATAAACGTACCAACATGCATATTTTATTTTAACATTTCATTATTCGTTATTGTCCATTCTGTTAGTTTTATTTATCCTTCAATCAGCTTTTGTTTTAATTTATACACTCGCCATTGTTTATCGATGTATCGAATTTCACTGACGATGACAATTCGTGACGTGCGTGTTTGCTATCGTTATTTATAAACAAAGATAAAATTTGGCAAAACGATATTTAAGTCAATAGTCGCTCATTTGCAGACATAATAAAATTAATACCAATTTAAAACATGAGCAGAAATAAGATACATTTATTTTTAGGAAATATATGAACGTATGGGTTCGGCTTTTTGTAGAGGAAAATAATCAAGTAGATCAGGCACAGACCTGTGGTTCGGCTTACTTCTTTTTTTCCGAAGAACAAGATTATGTTTTCGCCAGAAAACCCGACTTGTTAATTTTATTTACTCGACGTTTCAAGTTATTCTGTTTTGCTTGACACCAAAATTCGAAAGATATCAGTTGGTAGTTGTCCTGATCAGTTTTGGTAAAAATCGGCATTTGAAATCGGTTCCGCTGTTAGTAAGCATTATTGATAGATGTACAAATTTTGACTCACAAAAGCGCTGCTAAATTATCAAAACTTTCATGAATTTTTAAATTTAGGCGACTTGTCGTAGAACCATGATATTTTAGTCTATCCGAAAGAGTTTCATCAAAATTGTCGATTTGTTTTTCGACTTATATCTTTGGAATAGATTTAGAATTTTTGAAATAGGTTCAGTTTTTTTTTCGCTAAAACGTAAGCAAAAAAAAAAGATTTTTTCTGTGAATTGTAAAGAAGTTTTTTCGAAAGTCCTGCAAAACTAATCAAAGTGAGTCTTTATCGAGTTTCGTCCATAAATGTTCGAATTCAGTTCAGCCATTTTTGTGAAAAGATACGAACAAACAATACACAACCGTTTTCCAATTTTAGTTTCAAACGATTCAGAATCACTTGATACTTCGAGAAAACATACAATTGCTAATTTGGATTTTCTTGCGAAAACATAAACTTCTCCTTCGGGAATTTGAAAATATCTCGTTGATTGAATTTCACTTTTGTGCTTATTTCTAGTCATGGAAGCTTTAAGAGAAACCCTTGATGAACACGATGAAAAAAGTGTGGATAATCCAGTTTATTTGGCTGTAACGGACAACGTGCCACACAATCTAAACCTGGATTTAGAAAACCCGAACAATCCTAAAAACACATATTTAACACCCAGTTCTACGACAGAATTAGAACCCAAAGTTCATGTTTATAAGGTAAATAATAAATAAAAAATGTTATTATTAGAAAAGATCATTTTGTTTGAGGGTACGATTTATTTTCTAGGTGTACAAACGAAGGTGGCTGATTCTGGGTATATTCGTTTTATATTCGGCTGCAAATGCATTGCAATGGATTCAATACTCGATTATAGCAAATATTGTACAAAAGTATTATGGGATATCAAGTACTCTAGTCGATTGGACCTCGATGATTTATATGATTGTATATATACCTCTAATCTTTCCTGCTAGTTGGCTGCTTGATAAAATGGTTGGTATCGGTTAAGGTTAAATCATTTACTTTTATAATTATGCGATCACGAAATTATCGAAAAGTATTCTACAAAGTGGTGCACCTTCAATGTCAACGTCTAATTGTGATACTCCTTCACTGTTGACACATACTGAAAATATTATAAGATATTATTAATATTAGGATATTTATAGAATAGTTTTCGAATCTTCAAAATCGATTTGGGATTTTTGGCAAAAACGAAGACAATTTTGCTTTTTTCATTATAAAACTTCAAAATGGAAATTATTAATAATTATAATTAACATATATTGCATGTTATTAAATTATTGATGTTTTTGTTTTGCAGGGTCTCCGCGTAGCAGCTACATTAGGAGCATGTGGAACATGTTTAGGCGCTGTGATAAAATGCTTTTCCGTCTCTCCAAACATGTTCTGGCTAGGCTTTATTGGACAATCAACCACTGCTGTATCGCAGGTTTCTAATAAGTTTTTATAATAATAATCTTAAAACAAATATCTAACTTACATCTAAATATACGCATTGCACATATTTATAGGTTATTATTCCTACACCATTTTCTAACGAGGGTATCTTGTCTGTCTCAAAACTCCTTATTTCTTGGGTTAAGGGGGTTGTTCGTTTTTTTTTTTTACAAAAAGATATTTGTTTTTGTTTTTCTCGAAATGAATTTATCATAGAGACATGCGTTTTTTTTTAAACAAATATTACAAAATCATAGAATATTAAGAAATTTTCTTTTTTTGCTTTCATTTTTTGACTAGGGAGCGACAAAGTCGGCCTTGCAAAATCGATCCATTTTGCGGTGCCACAGATAAATCCGTTGCGCATCGCCTGAAACAAAAAAAAAAAGAAACTACGTTGAAGAAGAAGTTTGAATCCAGTCTCCCTACCAAAATGAAAGAAAAAAAAATCAAGAAGGAAAAAATGGCAGCTATTTAAAAAAAAGTGACAAAAAAGGTCTTTTTTTGGGGGGCGAGAAGCTTCGCAAATTTTTTTTTGCGTAATCTTATCAACTTGTTTGAGGTAGGGGGACTAGGTATTGCAGTGGTGAACAAATAAAAAAAAAATGCAAGTCACACCATTTAATTTAATGTACTAAATACACCATGGTGTTCAAAGATGCTGACACATTAAAAAAGTCATGCATGAGGTATTATAATGAAAAAGAGAGCAGCTGGCATACAATAGCTCGCGGAGCGATGAAAAAAACGGTTTCAGAGGATCATACATATATTTATATATATATATATATTTATATATATATATATATATTTATTTATAATATATATATATATATATATATATATTATATATATATAACTTCGTCAAAAAAATAGATATTGAGATGATTTTTTTTAAAAATAATTCTAAGGTTTTTTGCTTTCATAATATCAAAAAATCTCAAAATCGAAAAAAATAAATTAAAACCGAACAACACCCTTAACAATTGTTACTTATACAGCCTTGATTGTAAATATATAATATTTCAGTCAGCATTATAATAATCAATAGTGGTGGATATTTGTAGAAATTAGTAATTGCTATTTGTTAGAAATGAATTAATTTATTCTCAAGGAAGAAAGTAATTGAAATATCTTTACCAAAAGGATGGCATTTGTCTCGACATCTAAAGTACTGTTTAAATCAATGAAATTATGTAAAAGTGAAAATATGATAAAAGAACGATATATGATGTTTGAATGAAAATTACATAAATCATTCTATAATAAAATGTTTTAATTATGAACTTCTTTTAAATGGATCTTCCCGACGATACATATGCTGTTTTCGATACACACACGCATATACACACACACACACACACACATATATATATATATATATATATATATATATATGTGTGTGTGTGTGTGTGTGTGTGTGTTTCATAAAAAGTAGTTTGAAGTATTTTGCAGTATGGGCTGCAAAATACTTCAAATATGTATCAATGTAGACAAAACTATCAACTATCAACTATGTATGTATATACATAGTTTCAATTGATTCACTTCAAATTGACCTAAACCTGTTTATTCTTACAGATATTTATATTATCACTACCGGCCAGGCTTGCTGCTGTATGGTTTGGTCCAAATCAGGTAAATTTACAATTATAAAATTTTTGTTTACGAAAGTTGGTTCATAAAGCAATATCATGTTTTTAATATGTTTTTGTAATGTTTTTATTTATTTAATAATAAAATACCGAACAAGAATAAATTTTATGTACATATTTAAAACTCTCTCTCAAATTTCATCATTAGATATGTATGTTAATACTTATAGCTCGGACATCTTTGTTTACTACTAGATATTTCAAAAATAAAGTACTTTATAATTACAATTTTTAATTTATAAATATTTTTTATTGACTTATAATCTTATTAATAATTTTATAATTTTAATCTTAACTTATAACTTTATAAAATACTTCAATACAACATTTTGGTTATTTAAAAACCAATTTTATTTTAACTAAAAACAGAAAATATATTACTTTCAAAGTTATTCTTTAAAATAATTATTAATTGCTGGTATTTCAATACAAATGTCCGTCTTGAATATTAATATCGACATTTAAAATTTTGTGTTATGTGATGTAGTCACTCTGTGTTCATGTTGATTTTTATGAAATATTTTTTTTATTTTAGGTTTCCAGTGCCTGCAGCATCGGTGTTTTTGGAAATCAGGTAAATTTTAAATTTCAATACAAAATTGGAACTTACTACTATAGTAGGATACTGTCGTACAACAAAATAATTTGAAAATTTCTGTTTTTAATTGTCCACTAAATAGACTTGCGATTTTTGTGGAATTATGTAATATATTTCAGTGAGACTAAGAATCGGCCAATATTTACCTAAGTGGTAAAGTGGTGACAGCGCTTAAGATTTGTTTTTGCCCTCCTATGACAAATTCATATTTGGTAATAGTCATTTAAGTACACGAATAATGTTCCATTCCTCTTGCCCCTTGCAGGTAATAAATATTTTTCACTTCACAAGATTTTCTGAGCTGCTGCATAGCTTAAATTTATTCGCTCTATCAGATGAAACATTTTCAAAACCATTCATAGCAATTGGCTAGTCTTTCCAAAAATTTTAACAGTTGTTCACTTCATCCATACAAGTAAAATGTTTCTTGAATAATTCAAATCGGACGCTCCGTTTTTTCAAAAACTGAATTACAATTTTTGGAACGTTTTGCCCAGTATCTTTGAAACGGCCATCCTTCCTTCGCCAAAAATTAATCAGCACATCTCCTTATCAATATAATAGTTTTTTTTTTAATTATTCAAATTGTTTGATCCCTGTTCTCGAAATCGTCGACTAAAAATTGTATCCGCACACACATGTACATACACATTTATCCATTCTGTGTAGGGAATGCCAAAACTTCTGAAACGTAAAGATATATAAAAATTATCATTTTCGAATTTTCTGCGATGGCTATAACTGACCCTGCGAGAAGTTAAAAATGTAGAAATTGAATATTAAAATCTGAAGATACAATCGTTTTTCACAGGTTTTTGAAATCTCACTTAATTCAGTGTTCATTCCACAGCATTATGGTTTTACCAAGTAAATCGTCTAATTTTAATTTTAACAAACGTCAAAAAAAACTACTCATTTTCTCAAACGTTGATGAATTTTTAAAATTAAACTACTTGTCGTAAGGCCGTAATATTTCAATAAGTTCTATAAGGCCGTGATATATATCTCCAAAGAAAGTTTAATAAATATCGGTTTAAATTTTTTTTCAACAGTTAATTAAAAGAAAACGGCTCGGTAGATTTTCACCTAAAACTAATCAGTATCATTCCCAACTAATATCTTTCGAACAGTTTTTGATTTTTTAAAATCGATTCAGTAGTATGAGCCTTTATGTGGACAAAAGGTTTAACATTTTTTTCCAAATTACAAAGAAACGGCTTGGTAGATCGTCGCACAAAACTGACGAACGACAGTCCTCATTGAGATACATAAAAAATGGTTTTAAAATTTCTGAAATCGGTTCAGGCGTTTTTGAGAAAACGTCGATCAAAGGTCTAATTTTGACAAATGCTAAAAAAAAACGATACTAATTTTTGCAAACTTCGATCAATTTTTAAAATTAAACGACGTGTTGTAGGGCCGTATTATTTTAGTATGATCTATAAGACTATGGTATATACCGTCAAAAAAATAATAATAAAAATCGTCGAAAAAAACTTTTTTAACACTTCATTACAAGAAAACGGCCCGGCCAATCTTTACCAAAAACTAATCAGCACGATTCCAAACCAATATCTTTCGAACGGTTTTTGAATTTTCAAAATCGATTCAGAATTGCGGGCTAAAACGTGGACGAAAATTTTTTCACTTTTCTGTTATTAATAAGGAAACGGCTTGGCCGATCGTTGCACAAAACTGACAAACAATTATCCTCATCGAGATACATCAAATGGTACTCAAATTTTTGAAATCAGTCCAGCCGTTTTAAGAAAACGTCGATTTACGGCAGAAAATCTGTTCACACACACACACACACATACTTTTTCCAAATTTGGTCTCATTCGATTCAGAATGGCTTGAAACGAAAAAACATAAAATTAGCAAATCGGATTTTTTGATGAAAACATAAACTTCTCCTGCGGGAAGTTAACTAGATAAAATATTTCATAAACATGTTTTTCAGTTAGGTGTCGCTGTAGGATTTTTACTACCTCCGCTTTTAGTGAAAAATCATGATGATCTGGAATTAATTGGAAGAGACCTGCAAAATATGTTTTACTTAGTAGCTGGTTTTTGTGGATTGCTATTGCTTCTAGTAATATTCTGTAAGTGATACATATTTTTAACTTCATATTTTGTATATATAGTCATAACCATTACTCATATACTCATAACTCATATATACTCATAACCCTATATGCAAATACATTATTGCAATTCTGATTTTTTTTTTGTAATCGTTTAGCTGATGATATCTAGTTTTGTACTATTTTTGTTTTTTGTAGTGTTCAAAGCAGAACCACCAACTCCACCATCAGCAGCTCAGGATAAAGAGCTAATGTATGGTTTGTCAAATAAAACTAATTCGGAGCCTTCTAATGCAAACGAAAATTCATCGCAGCTTGAGAGTGGGATTAATATCGAAGCTGAACATAGTTTTGCAACATCAGTCAAAAGGCTACTTACGAATGTGGGATATGACTTGTTACTCGGTAATTGATTTATATATATAAAAATATATTATATATATAAATATTTATATATATATATATATATATATATAAATATATTATATATATAAATATTTTTACATTTATTGCAGGTTCATATGGAATTAATGTTGGTGTTTTCTATGCGCTCTCTACATTATTGAATCAGATTGTTTTGCAATATTATCCGGTAAGTTGTACAGATCAAACATGTTTTTAATTTGCATTTTTGTTAATGTTAAACACCCAAGATGTACCATTCGTTATAGAGATATTTTAATCGACTACCGCAAAAAGGCTACAAAACTCATATATTAATAGAGGACTTAATCATAGGAGTGTTAATGAAATTGAAATGCATCTGAATATCATAATTTAATGAAATCGTGATAGGATATGAAGGGTTTAAGTTTGTTATATTTATAATTTTCTCACAAAAAATATTAAAAGCACGGCATAAATATAAATGTATGGACTTGCAGGCACGCACACATGTATAATATATACCTATACACACAATTCTATATATATATATATATATATATATATATTTCTGGATTATTTCAGTAAACTTTGCCATAGAAACCATAGCTCAGATTTTATTTTCGAGTCGAAGAAATTGTTAATACATTTTGTTTGTCAATATTCTTAGTATTTTTATTATATTAAAATGGTGAAAATTAATGTGCATAATAAACTAGATACAAAGCTTTGAACTTTTCTCTGATATTTGGCAGGTTTAGTGTTCCTGATGGAGTATTGGCATAGATAGTCACTTTGAATTACTGGCTAGATCGTTCAAAGGAATTTTAGGATAGAAGTATGAAAGAATTATGATAGGGACAATCGAGTAAAATTCTTTAGGCTCGAATGCACAAAAGCCATCAGAAAATAATTCAATTTATATATTATTGGTATGGGTGAAAAATTTATTGAAAATAGTTTCGTATTTCACCTCAGAGCTATATGGTTTCTTCAGCAAAGTTTCATGAAATGACTCAATATCGCAATATGACCAATAAAAAGTGTTTATATATGACTTATTTATATAATGTATATAACACATCACTCAAAAAAGTCTGTATGATTATTTATATTTGCATATGGAAATTTTGAATATTTCATGGTTGAAAGGTGGACTATATTATTTTCATAATATACAATATTACATATTTATATAACATATATTGCAGATTATGGAAATACTAAAGCCCGCATTTCAACTACGAATTATTCAAAATTTTGTTATCAAAATATAAATAATAAACCTACATATTGAGGGATGTATTATATGTCTTATTTTCTATACACTTATTATTAGCTATTAACTATTTTGAAAACAACTCGTGGTTGTTTTTTCTGAAATTTTTCATACCTTTCTAGTCGGTTTTGCGAGTTTACTACATTTGTTTCCAGTGTCCAATAAGATTTGAATAATTCTTCTTACATCAGTTGCTTTCAACTACCAGTAAGTTGCAAGATCAAATATTTTTCATACTGATATTAAATAAAAAAAACGTTGATAAATTAATGTAGTTCTTAACTTTTCTATCTTCATTGTATTTTTTCTTCAGAATGCAGATTTCTATTTTTTTATTGAATAGTTAATATAGCTTTCGTTATGAAATCATACTATTATTTGTATTTTCTGCTTAATTATTGTATATATAAAGCAGCTCGTAACCTTACTTGTATCATCTATCTTGTACCCAATATTTTGCTACAGCGATTCATAATCTCTTACCCAAGGCACTTAGAAATATGCTTATTCTAACAGTACTATTTTAATTTGCTAATCAATTATAATCATCGATATTTTTATAACCATTTTTCTTCTCCATAGGGTCATGAGGAAGATGCTGGAAAAATAGGTAATTAAATATACAGATAGCGTTAAATGTGATCTGCAGTAAAGATCTTTATATAAGATGTTTTAATTCATATTTTTGTAGGTCTGACCATCGTTTTAGCTGGTATGCTGGGCTCTGTAGTTTGCGGAGTGGTTTTAGATAAGACTCATAGATTCAAGTGAGTATAATTGTTGAGATTGTATGAATATATGATCTAATTGTCAGAAAATACAATTTTCATGAAATAATTAAAATAAATGTGTGTAAAATAAATTTATGTCTTCCAACAATATAAAATGTTGGCGGAACAATAGCTTGATCGTCCGGAGACAAATAGTCATCGGAACTTTCGAAAAAAGTTGATTTCAACACATTAAGGCAAAGACCAACCTAAAAATCGACTCTACTAAATACATTAAAGAACAGTGCCTAATATCTCTTTAAACTGATTAGTTAAAAGATTCAACAAACATAACTGGAACTTAAACTACTTTAATGATTACCAAAATGCTTTTGCGGCTTCTAGAAGAATAGATTCATTAATTGCGTAGTTACAACTACTATTATACGCAACTATTGTATATAAAGAAAAGAGGAAGAAAAAAAATTCAGATTATTTAAAATTTCTTGAAATTTTATAGAATACGTTTATAAAGTAGAATATAATGAATAATTTATATATACAAAAAATTACAAATGTTTATCCGATAATGTATATGCGTATCATTATTATTACAAAACTTCCCGTACACTGGTAAATTGGCAGTGTCAATTGGCATCTATACGAGTATAAATAAATAAAATTATATATATGTAGCGTTTTGCCTTAAAAAAAATTCTATGAATTTCCTGATACACGTTAATAATCGACTTTATCGGTAAGATTTGACATTTTCATGTTTTGCTAAAACCATCAATTGTTCATTTTGTAAATAGCTTTTGCTTTCTACGAAAAACTAATCAATTCTGATTATCCGATCGACATCTATATATTTGTATAAATTAAATTAATTGATCATATAAACTAGTTGAAAGTGGCATTTAGCCTTAAGGCAAGTTGCATGAACTTCCTGAAATGTATAGGAATTGATTTAATCAATCGAAAGTGAAATTTAGATACTTATCGTTAGATAAAATTTTCAACTGTAAATTTTCAAATATAAAATTATCGCTTTCAATTGAATCTAAACATTACGATTTCCAATTGAATTTTCTCAAACACATTTAAATTAACTGTAATTATATTAATTGCAGTGCACAAACACGTTCTTGTATGTCCTAAAATTGTAGTTTATTTTTCCCAATTTTAATGAATTGATAATGACATCACAAATTTTAATTAATTGACTCATCACATCACAAAAGCAACTTTTGACTACAATATTTTCTCGAACTTTAATGAATTTTTAACATCAAACTATTTGACGATGTTTTATAAGACTTATTGCCAAAAAAGGTTCATAAAAATCGGCTGTGTAGATTTTTACCTAAAACTAATCAGTATCATTTAGGGCTTCCAATACCGTACAAAAATCTGAATACCGGTATTCGATATTTGAAAAATGAAATTCCGGGATCCCGGTTTTAATACCGGTATTGTCGATGAAAAATTAAATAGTTATATTTTTACTTACTTCAGTTGTTATATTAACAAATTATATATGAAAGTTCAGTTCAGTTGACATATTAACAAATAATATAAGAAATCTAACAAATATTGTCCTGAAACGAGTACATATTGTTTATTTATTACATAAAAAGTAGAAGTAGATAGAAACAAAAAACGTGCCAGTAAAAAATATATATTTTTCTATGTTACATTTTACATTTATAATAAGAATTTATTATTTAATAATATATTTAAGAAAAGAATAAATTATAATTCATGGCTAATGTTTTGCTCAATGAAATATGCTCTTAAGAAACATAAACAATCAATTGTTTGATCATCAAGCGAGGACCGAATTTTATTACAAATATAACCAGCCGCCGAAAAAGCTATTTCCGATTCTACACTTGTTGGTACAATTGTAATTAAGACATTATACATATTTTGTAGTATACATACTTGTAAAAGTAATTTCATCTTTTATTTCTTGTTCTAGACTTGGAGTTTTTTTTAACACACACACGGGTGAAGTATATTTATTTTAATATTTTTTAATTACACACTAACTTAATTAACTTTGGTTTATATACTCACTTATAAATATCATAAGTTCAAATTAAACACAATATTAAACACACTATTCTTCATATAAACATTTATTTTCCCGCAACTTTGAGATGTTATCTACACGAAATTTACACAACTACCTACTTAAAGTTACATTTCGGCTTTATATAACATTTTATTTAGTTTAAGGGAATTCCCTTGATTTTGAATATGATCAATAGAATTTCTTTATATGTGTGAGTGCAAGTCAAGTTATTACCCGTTCGGATTTCTCGGGAATTACTGCGATGTGTGCAGTTCATCGATAAAAGATTATTACAATGTTGACTATTCTTATGTTGAATGCAATACAATTGAGAATATGATTCATTACGTAGTGTGTTTCTACTATATTAGTTATTAATATTAACTAATTAAGCGTTGGGCCATAACAATACACTTCGCAAATTCTCAATATGTTGTCAGCAACACGCAATTTAAACAACTGCCGTTCTTACTTATGTAAGATGATTTATATATAATAAATAAAGAATTATATCTCAACGATTGTATATTATGTTTAAAAATCATTGATAGAAACGAGGCACGTGAACGCATAATAATTTTTTAAATGAACCGTTTTATTAGCTGGCTCTCACACATAATATATAAACAATCGCTTTATCTTGCCGACACCGCTTGTCGCTTATCTCACTCAGCCGAGTCGGCAATACACAATACATAGTTTGGAAACTAAACCTTGATATGTGTTTTGCGTAAGTTGAATTTTTGATAGAATACTGGTAATACCGTAATGCCGGTATTATTTGCATCAATACCGGTATTGAATACCGGACAAAAATCGTACGGGATCCCGGTTTTCGGGATTACGGAATCCCGGTATTGTAAGCCCTAGTATCATTCCCAATTAATATCTTTCGAACAGTGTTTGATTTTTTTAAAATCGATTCAGAATTGAGATCTAAAACGTGGACAATTTTTTTTTCACATATCTGCTATTTACAAAGAAACGGCTTGGCTGATCGTGCAGCGCAAAATTGATAAACGCTAGTTATCATCGAGATCCATCGAATGGCTTTTAAATTTTTGAAATCGGTTCAGCCGTTTTTTGAGAAAACGTCGATTTACGGTCAACAAATCTTTTCACACACACTCCAAATTTGGTCACATTCGATTCAGAAAGTTTTGAAACGCCGAGAAAACATAAAATTAGCGAGTCGGATTTTTTGATGAAAACATAAATTTTTTCTTCAGGAAGTTAATAAATGTTTAACAATAAAATAAAAGAAACAAAAGATTTGGAATTACTTAAAAACTAATGCAATTGTTTTTGTTTATAGGGAAACAACATTGGCGGTTTATGGGTTTAGTATGGTTGGCATGGTCGTATATACATTCACTCTGAGCTGTGGTTATATTAGTGTTGTTTACATTACATCAGGTCTTCTTGGGTAAGCTACATCATTACTACAAAATATTATATATATATATATATATATATATATATATATTAAATATATAATATATAATATAAATTATTATAGTAATTATATATTTTCATAATAAATCGGTAATTGATATACTAGCAGACTGGGCAGGCAGGTAAATAACAGATAAATAGTTAAACAGGTAGATAGATAGAGAGGTAGACAGAAAGACAAGAAAACTGGTAGACTAGATGTAGCAATTATGCATTTTAGTTCATAGTTTTTATTAAAAGTAAAACACTGCGACACATGAACGTTTGCAGCTATTTATAATATATCATACTTTCAACACAATACTTACATATATGTAATGAATGTATTTTTTGTATGAATTTTAATAAATGTCGCATTTAAGGTTCTTCATGACTGGATATTTGCCAGTTGGGTTTGAATTTGGATCCGAACTAACATATCCCGAGCCCGAGGGAACTTCAGCTGGATTGCTGAATGCCGCTGCACAGGTATGGATTATTCTCATATATTTTAGTTCGTAATTTGATACTGAGTTGACCGAATAAATCTGTCACCTTATTAGTGAATTAATGGAACTTTGTTCAAATTATGCAGAAGTTTACTTTCTCTCTGATAAGAGCTAGTAATTGCGTTGAGCGATTACAAATAAATATTATGTAATTTTCACAAAATTTCTATGATTATTAATGAGAGTGTATGTGAGCCGATTTCTGACCTTTTATCGACGTTTTCTCAAAAACGGCTGGACCGATTTCATAAATTTAAATGTCATCGCGTTAGTCAGTTATGAAACTTTTTAGGCTGATAGATATAATGGTCCTAAAGAACATACCAAAATATAGTGAAATGTGATAGTCGAAAGGGTTGGTCGCATTGCAATACAGAATCGGGCCCATCTCGGTATTTAAATAATTTATACGCCTTATATAATTTATACGATCTTTTTGAAAAAATCCGCTATACTAATTTTTAACTTTGTACCTCATCTTATGGCCTAAAAAATCTCATATAAAGTGACCCCTTCTTTCAAACTCACTTTTTGGCGTAATCATAAAAGATATCGAAAAAAACGCAATTCTACTGACATTGGCTTAGACCACATTATGTAGAATAATCAATGCTAAATAATTATTTATTATTAGCTAAAAACGATATAATCAAATTTTCAATTGATGTTTTCGGGTAGTGCGTTTAGTTGGACCACTTTCTAATTAGCGTTGTTCGAAATGCTATTGTTTTTTCTTTTAATACTGGAAATATCGTTCAAATCAATTTTGTGGAGCACATTGGAAAATTGGAAAAATCTGAGCCAGTCCACACGCGCGTAACGCTATAATAGTACCTTGTAATTGCATAAAGGACGCAGCGTTATAGTTATATGTATATAATCATACAGTTTTTACAATTTTTAGACATTACTGGTTTTACTATATTAATTAAATCACTAAAACTAGTAGTGTATGACATCACTAGCATTAAAATTATTTATTTGAAGTATATCAGTGACCTTTAGAATTTTAGCTAGAATTAAAATTCAAATCCGAATTATTTTTGATAATAAAAGAAAATATATCGTTTGAAATTTAAAAAAATCAGCTTTTTCCAAAAACAATCTTCTCGTCCACACAAACAAAGATATTGATTGGGAATCATGCTTACTTGTTTTTGGTAAATATCGACCGGGCCGTTTTCTTGTAATAAAGTGTTGAAAAAGTTTGACGGTAGATACCATAGTCTTATAGATCAAGGGCGAGCAACCTTTTTAACCCGCGGGCCAATTTGGTTTTCAAAATTTTATGGCGGGCCGCACGTAATTTATATATACTAGCTGACCCGGCGAACGGTTAGCTACAGGAAATATTTTTAGAAAATCATTAGTATAAGAAATGACCAACTAATTCTGAATGTATAAATATTATAACATTGATAATTTACCCACTGCAACGCTAAAATACTAACATACATATTGTAATTATGTTATACTCTGAAAAAAAATCCAGTTTTCTCTCAAAAACAGTTTTATCTCCTGATTTTAGAATTAAATTACTAATTTTTTGCTGAAATAGCTCCTTTTTTGAGGCATTCAAACCTATATATGTACTTCTCATGCACATCAAGAAATATTTATACAATAGGATAAGCCTGCAAATCAGTTAGTTTTATCGGAAGTAACCATTTCGTTGCCATTTTTGAGATGTTGCAGCGTATGAGGCGGATAAATTTAAGCTTTTTTATAAGCTCAGAAAAAACTTGATCGAATTTCAATTAAAAACGTTCACAAAAAAGGCGATAATAGTTAATTAATTGATTACCGACCAAAATAAAAAATCAATGGACTACTAAAATGACTATTATAAAATAATGTAAATTTGGAGTTGTGTAGTTTTCCATTTCGTATAAAAAAATTAAAATAGAGAACAATAAAAAAAATGTTACGTTATTATTAAATGTTCAATTTAATGTTTAATTAAATTGAAGTTTTTTCATAAATTCTGATAAAAGTCTGATAAAATTAAGTCAAAAAATTTATTGACTGAGCGCGAGAATAATGCAATTGCAACAAAATTTCAAAATTTGCACAAGAAAAGAACAAAAATTAAAATTGAAAATAGTATGTATTTTATATAATTACGAGTGTATATTATAAGTGTTCATAAATATTAATACAGAATGAAAACAAATAATATTTAAAAAAAAAATTGCTTGGAAACTTTAATAAAAAATTTGGCACTGTTTTTTTTTATACAAGCTGATTAATATCAGCTTTTTTATAGATTTTGTTCTTTATTTTAATTTTTTTAATGCGGAAAGTAGCAACGAGTATGATGCTTTGATATGTTTTACTCAGTTTTGATGAATTTTATGGTTGAAATTAACACAGGTCCACAAAAAAGAGTTGTCTGGATTCGGTGTGACATATGTTTTCCAATGTATCTTTTACCGCTGAAGATAAATCTATAGTCAAAATTAGGGCAAAAAATATTGAAAAACATTTAAACCTGGCACAATCTTCAATATAGATTTTTGACTGAATGAATTAATTATTATCCAGCGACTTTTCTGGGTCTATGTAATTGTTCGAGCACATACGTACTTCCAAAAAAAGAATTTATCATAATTTGGTTTGCGTTTTTTTAAAAGATTTATAAAAAAAAATCGATGTTTACTAAAAAAAATACATTTTTTAAATCTGTATTATTTTGCATGTTAAATGGCGAAAAAAAACATTTACATGAAAACAGCTGTCTGTTAGCTTTGAACATTTGGAATCACAATTAAAATTTGTTCACATTTTCTTTTTTTGAATATGAAGAGTAAAACACAAGATTCTGCAAAAGATATTATTCTTTATTACCAAAGTGACGCAGAGACTATAATTATTATTTCATATCTAAAAACAATTGTAATTCGTCATTTGAGTCGTATACTTTTTTAAGCATTGCATCACTATTGAGTTAACGTACTTTAGTATTGAAAATCGACATATTCACGATCTAAATTGTCAGGAAGTCTTTAAATTTACAATGATTCAACCCTCGCGACTTTATAAGATTTACTTATTCAATTATTTTAAATTTAGAAATGCGTTGTTGCTATGTTCTCGGACAAGTTCTCAATTTTTGTTGCAATATTGAAGCTTGTTAAACTAATATTTAAATTAACTAATATTTATTTTATCAGGAAATGCTATTTCTTCGAACAAGAGTTTTTACCAGAATTTGGCTGACGAATAAATTAACCTTTACAGCCATATTTGATAAAATATCTAGAAAAATAATCTGTAGTTGAGAAATGCTTGGCGGGCCGCAGAAAAACACCCGGCGGGCCGCATGCGGCCCGCGGGCCGCTGGTTGCTCATCCTTGTTATAGATCATACTAAAATATTACGGCCTTACGACAACTTGTTTAACTTTAAAAATTAGACCTTTCATCGACGTTTGCTCAAAAACGCCTGAACCGATTTCAGGAATTTGAAAGCCATTTGATGTATCTCAAGGGCGAGCAACCTTTTCAACCCACGGGCCAATTTAAATTTTAAAACTTCATGGCGGGCCGCACGTAATTTATATATGTATACTAGCTGACCCGACAAACAATTTGCCACAGGAAATATTTTTAGAAAATCATTAGTATAAAAAATGGCTAATTGTGAATCTATAAAGATATAGTATATAAATGAAAGGGGCAGCTAACACAAATTACATTTTTAATTTAACCAACACAACGCTAAAATACTAACATCCATATTTGAATTATGTTAACTCTGGAAAAAAAATCCAATTATCTTTTTAAAACAGTTATATCTTTAGATTTTAATATTAAATTTCAAAAATTTTGTTGCTAAAATTGCCCCTTCTGCAAGGCAGTCAAAAACTAGGTACTTCTTAAGCACATCGAGAAATATTTGACAGGATAAGCCTGCCAATCAGTTAGTTTTATCGTATGTAACCATTTTTGTTGCCAATATCTAAGAATTGTTTTTAAAATGTTGCAGCGGATAGAGCTGATAAATTTACGCTTTTCCATAAGCTCAGACAAATTTTGATCGAATTTCAAATAAAAAAGTTCTCAAAAAGGACGATAATTGTTAAGTGATCGATTATCGAGCTAAAATGACTATTCTGAAATAAAAGAGTGAAATTTGGAGTCGTATGTAGTTTTCCATTCCGCATTAAAAAAATTAAAATAAAGAACAAAGCTTAAAAAAATAAATTGCTTCTTCTTTTTGAATAAAATGAGTGATTTTTCATAAACTCAAAAGTCTGAACTAATATTAAGTCAAAAAGATTCATTGACTGAGCATGGGAATAATGTTACTGCAACAAAATTACAAAATAGCAACAAGAACAGAACAATGTACAAATTTGAAAAAAGTATATATTTTATGTAATTACGTGTGTATATTATAAGTGTATATAAATAATAATAATACAAAATGAAAACAAATAATAGTTAAACAAAGAAACTAATTTACTTGAAAACTTTAATGAGAAATTTGGCACTGCTTTTTTATATAACCTTGTCAATATCAACCGTTTTTTTAAATATTGTTCTTCATTTTAATTTTTTTAGTGCGGAAAGTAGCAACGTGTATGCAGCTTTGATATGTTTCACTCAATTTTGACCAGTGGATCGGTGGATGGATTGAAATTAACACAGATCCACAAAAAATTTGTCTGGATTGCGTGACATATGTTTTTGTAACTTTTACCGCTGAAGATAAATCTATAGTCAAAATTGGGACACAAAATATTTAAAAAACTGGCACAGTCTTCAAGCTATAATTTTTTCTAAATGATTTAATTATTTTCCATCGACTTTGTGGACCTGTGTAATTGTTCGCATACATACGTACTTCCAAAAAAAGAATTTATCGTAATTTTCTTTACGTTTATTTCAAAAGCAAAAATTTCTCAGTGCTGACATGAGTTTTATAAAAAAAACGATGTTTAATGAAAAAATATATTTTTTAAATCTGTATTATTTTGCATGCTTTCTGTGATGGTTTTCATGCAATATTGTGTGCCTATATCGATGTTAAATGGCAAAAAGAACACCTCTCTTGCTAGCTTTGAATATTTGGAATCATAATTAAAATTTGTTCACATTTCCTTTTTCTAAATATGGAAAGTGAAACACAAGATTCTGCAGAAAAAATTATTCTGCATTACCAAAATGACGAAAGTTCTACAATTATCGCCATATACACGCTCTAAATTGTTCACTAATTTTTTTAATTTACGGTGATTTAACCCTCGCGACTTTATAAAACATACTTATTTAATTACTTTAAATACCGAAATGCGTTATTGCTCTTGGACAAGTTCTCAATTTTTCTTGCAATATTGTTAAACTAATATTTAAATTAGGCCGCGGGTTGCTCATCCTTGATGTATCTCGATGAGGATTATCGTTTCTCCGGCCTCGTTTCTTTGTAATTTGGAAAATAGTGTAAAATTTTTCGTCCACATTTAAGTTCATACTACCGAATCGATTTTAAAAAATCAAAAGGTGTTCGAAAGATATTAGTCGGTAATGATACTGATTAATTTTAGTTGAAAATCTACCGAGCCGTACTCTTGTAATTAACTGTTGAAAATAAAATTTAAGCCGATTTTTATGGAACGTTTTTTGGCGATATATACCATGGCCTTATAAAACTTATTGAAATATTATGGCCGTAAGTTCTATAAGACCTTACTGCAATATTATGGCCTTACTTAAAATTAAAGTTAGACGATTTACTTGGTATAGCGATAGAGTACTTGTTTACCTGCGGAAACTGGTTTAATTATAAAAATTGTTGATTTTTAAAAATTTCCTTCCCGTGTTTAACATGTTCGTTCGTTTTCAATTATGTGTAATAAATCCATCTGGAATACATTTAATCACTCATAAGTTAATTTATATTTTATTAATTAAGTCGATTATTTACACAAATCGGGAAGTTCATGTAACTTGCCTCAAGGCAAAATACCAATACCAACTAGTTAGAATACTAATTAAAAGCATCGCTAATTAAATTGAAAATTTATCTGACAATAGTATGCATTATTATTATTATTATATATATCATTTTTTCCAGACTTTCGGCATTTTGTTCACAATGGCCTACGCAAAACTTCTGGATGGTTTCGGCGACATGGTGGCCAATCTGTCATTAAGCTTCATGCTTTTGGTGGGAACCATAATGACAGCAGCAATAAAGTCAGATTTACGTCGGCAAAAAGCCCACAATTTAGCTGAATAAATTTTCATTGGCGTATGTATATAGAATTTAAAAAAATATTTAAATGAAAGTGCAAAGTAAGTACTATGACAATGAAATACTAAGTTGCCAAAATATTAATTATTATCGATGTGCCGATTTGAATGGGAATTAAGACGCTTTATGATTTGAATTAAATTTCTATGTTAAATTGTTTAACTTACACATTCCGTTTTGTATTTATCAATATGCAGCATTTTGGTCGATGCATTTGAATGTATAATTTGTGGCATTAAATATTGCCAAGTAGATTGCATACACTTGATAAATTTACATTTAAAAATATTTGAAAAATTGTAGTTGAAACGGACTCTGGAATTATATAAAATGTAAGTAGAATTGTATATTTGTATGCTTTTAGCTCCATGATAACAGAAAACAATTTAACTGTATTAGTTGCAAATTTTTAATCTAGTTACGTTAGCTTGTAAGTTTACTCACGTCTTATATTTGGAGATCAAACATAGCATATCCAAAACTGTTATGAAATTTAGCAATATTTTCACGTCAAATCTCATTCAAATAGCATTTTAAAGTAGTGACACATCATATATTGAAATAAGAGGCTTAGGGGACGACTTTTGAACAAAATGTTAGTTTAAGTGTTATTTTTAGGTTGCGGGTTATATTCTCGAATTGAAATATTCTACTTGATAGAATGCCAATAAATATTTTTTTATACAATTTTATTACACCTCGACTTAATTTTAATTTTATTGTATTTTAAATTTTAATAAGAAATAATTTAACAAATGATAAAAATTTGCTTCTTAGGAAAGCAAACACTTTTATATTAACTTGTTTCTGTATCTATAGATATTCACTGTTGTTAATTTTAAATGCATTTCTTGTAAACTGAAATTGTTCAAATCAAAAACATCTGAATCGGCACATCCATGATATGAGTTATTAATGTTGTACATATCATTATTTTAAATATTGCATTTGACATTTGCATATTTTTAGAAGAAAGTTAATTACTGAATATAATTCAGTTTGTTGTTTTTATCTTTCTAGTATATAAATGTGATGTAGGTACTATATAAATATGCTCAATTAAGTTATGCCAGAAATAATTCTGGTTACAACTAAAAGTGTCAAATTTCCGACAATAAGCTGTGCTAAATTTTATTTGTTGACTTGATTAGTGTATTTATTTATTTATTAATGAGCCATTCATCATAAAATGATATTAATAAGATTCAATTCATGCTCAATGTAATTATAAGCAAATCGTACTAAAGATATAAATCATTTAAAATGATAATTGAATTAGTACTTGACTTGTCATTATGTAATTTACAAAATAAGCATTGATAGAATGTATTGCATTTGTGATTTTTGATTACCCAATTTATTACGAATAAGACATTATGGCCAAATAAAAAATTAAGTACGCTTTAATTATAAATAAGTACAAATGGCTTTAGCTAGAGTCAATTTCATGCTAAGTACCAAGAAAGAAAGTATTTGCCAAAATAGAACTTTTTGCTTCAAATTATTAGGTAAATTTTCACTAATGTATTGCATTTGTTTAGTGTCAAGTTTTTAAATGCTTATAAGTAGCTTACTTATAATTGTATACAATAAGACATGAATTATAATTAAAAAAGTTGTTGATTAAATGTACCTGATTTAATTCCTTTGTATTTTTTTTACATAGAAATATTACTGTTCTTGATTGAAATCGAATTGAAAAAAATTATATTATGGTATAGTGAACCAAAATTAGAAAATTATGAAAGAATCTGGTGTATAAATTCAAATTAGCTGTAGAGAATCATAATCGAACACAGGTAATGGTTTTAACTTCATTACAAACTTCTTCAATGGTAATGAAAAATTATGAACTTTTTGAATCAAATAAAATCAAATTTGGCAATATTTTTGATCGTCTTTTTTAGTGAAAGCGAAATTTTTAACTTCCCGAAGGAGAATTTTATGTTTTCATAAAAACATCCGATTCGCTAATTTTATGTTTTCTCGACGTTTCAAGCCATTCTGAATCAAATGAGCCCAATTTTGGAAAAAGTATGTGTGTGTGTGCGTGTGCGTGTATGTGAACAGATTTTTTGCCGTAAATCGACGTTTTCTCAAAGACGGTTCAACAGATTTCAAAAATTTTAAAGCCATTCGATGTATCTAGATGAGAACTAGCGTTTCTAAGTTTTGTGCGACGATCGTCCAAGCCGTTTCTTTATAAATAGCAGAAAAGTGAAAAAAATTTCGTCCACGTTTTAGTCCGCAATTCTGAATCGATTCTGAAAATTCAAAAACCGTTCGAAAGATATTGGTTAGGAATTGTGCTAATTAGTTTTTATAAATATATAATTAGTTTTTATAAAAACGACGAAACCGCCCTACGACAACTCGTTTAGCTTTAAAAATTCGTCAAAGTTTGCAAAAATTGGTATCGTTTTTTTGGCATTTGTCAAAATTAGACCATTCATCGACGTTTGCTCAAAAACGGCTGGACCGATTTCAGAAATTTAAAAGCCATTCGATGTATCTTTGATGTTAAATTTTCGTCCACATTTAAGCTCATTCTACCGAATCGATTTTAAACTAGTGGGGTATATGGCGTCGTGCCTTAAGGCAAATTGCTGGAACTTCACGTACCATAACGAAATGTTCGAGGAATATTAAATGTTTTCAAATGCATTATTATATAAATATAAATATAAATACTGTTAAATTATAAATAATTTAATATAATTATAAATACTATACCAATACCAACTAGTTATTTTTGAAATCAACTGCTGAAAATTTCACTTATGTAGCTAAATCTCAATTTTTCTTGATAAGATAGATTATTCCATGATTATTCCTTTGCGGTGCGAAAGCTTTTCACCGTTTCGTTTCTCGAACGTGCTTAGCAGGTAAGGCCGCACTTGACCTCAGACTAGCCTAGAGTTTCTCTCATTTTCTGCCTTACAATTAAGATGATTTCTATTTGAAGCTTTTTGAAATCAGATCATTAGTCAATTTAAACCTAAAATCGGCACATGATGGTTACAATAATTCATAATGGGCTGTAACTTGGCAAAATTGCTTAAAATGCAATTATAGAAGGAATCTCAAAAGTTCCGGTGCGAGCTAAAAAATTGGCACAAGATCAAAGGTAAAAAAATGATCTTTTCACGATCTTCAGCTAAGTCAGTTCTATCGCAAAATTACCTAAAACAAAATTGTAGAGCATAAATAGTGCAGTAAACGGAGAGGAAAAAAGGGTATAACCTCTGAATTTTTTTACTGTGCTCCGAATTGAATGAAATTTTGGAATTAGGTTCATCTTACCCTCAAGTTCAAAAGTGAAAACAATTCGGGTTCCGCCATCACCCCCCGGGGGGATGACACCCCTTCTCAATTGTGTTATTACATTTTTTCAAAATAATGTCGGAAATCGACAGAAAAACTAATTATAAGAAAAAAATTCTATAGTTTTTCAAAAAAGCTAACACTTTTCAAGTTACTGGCCACTAAATATTCATATAATACTTTTGGCGTTTTTCTTCGTTTTTTTGCAAATATCTCCTAAAATATACATTTTAACGAAAATCATGTAATGAACAAAATAATGTCAATAAAAATCTTAATAAATCAGTATTACATGAAGTGTTCTAGGAAAAATATTAAGCAAGATTTGAAAGAGCAAAGTCGCTTTTTATTTTGTTCAAGATTTAATTGTTGTATTTAAAGCAATCTAGTGTCGAGGTTTTACATTTTATGTATTTCAGTGAAATTGGGTTTTATAGTGCTCACAACATAAGCTTTAAAATGAGTGCTGTTATAAGTTTTTTGCGTGTAAAATGAGTGAGCTATCATGCAAATAAGAAGCATATACGAAGTTTTTTCTGTTAAATCATATGGTTTATTGAGCGCCATTTCCACCAGAAAAAAGTAATTCACATTCCATCTAGAATTCACTTCATTATAGACATCTTAATAGATTCTAGCAGATTCACTACTTTAGTACAAACTATTTTCAGAAAACTCGAAATTTTATAAAAGCTTTTTGAAGTAAAACTTCTTTAGGCGCGATATGGGTGTAAAAATTTCATGGGCGCGACACGGGTGTAAATCCGTACAAATGCAACGAAAACGCCAACGTGAAGTTGAACACTACGACGCTGTAAGCGCTGATGTCGCGAGTCGCGATCCACTCCCGTCATGTCATGCGTAAGTCGAACGCTAAACAAACCCTATATGAACTTGCATTAATTGAATCACGTTTTTTTTACAAAAGAAAAGGTTGCTGTATTATGTCCTCATGGAATAAGACTCTTCTTAGAGAATAAATGTGTCATGGAATGTAATAAATTTATATTGAATCTCGTTGAAGACAAAATAATATCTACTGCCACGGATATTTGTGTAGGTTGCCATGCGACAGATCAACAATCATACATTCGTCAGCATTTTCACAAAAATCGGTTATTGATACCGGGGGTTTGCCGTATGAAATAATTTTAGTTCTGAATAAATTTTACATAATAACAACTAATGGAGTTGTGTAGGAAAATTAGAGTACATAGAACGTGGCGATAATGATGAACTTCTACGTTTATGGTTTGAATTTCCTGGTAAGATAGGTAACAAAATTAGGAAGAAAGCTGCACATCATATTCAAACTCTTAATATCAGTAGGACAGCTGTGCCGATTCTCAGGAGATCTTCATCTATTCCAATGAATAGAAATAAAACCATATTTGCCAAAAGAAATCATTTTCCTTTAGTGTCTGCTTGTGCACTCACAATACACAAATCACAAGGTGGTACTTTTGATGAAATTGTATATGAATACAATAAAACACATAATCAGCAGCTTCTATATGTTGCATTATCACGAGTTACCAGCATTATTGGATTGTTCATCATTTCTAAAAACAACGACAAAAAATTTTATCATGGAAGAAAACGGCCAGCAGGATTAATGGACTTACAAACTGAATTCCAAAGACTTTCAACTTGTAGATTAATAACACAAGAAGAAAAATTGAGTGAGATAATAAGTTTGAACGACATATCATTGTTTTCATTTAACTGCCAAAGTTTACGAGCTCATTTGCCTGATCTGCTAGATAAAGTGCTACAACGTTG